TTCACGGTAGCACCCCAAATCAGTTTCGCAAAGTAGAAATGTTTTATTTTTCAAAGACTTTGCGATTAAATGCGCTACTCTGATTTACTAGTAAGGTGGGGTGTTACACGAAGTCGATCGTCGACGGAGGGGCGAGCACGAGTCAGCACCACGCATCGTGCCTTGATGCGCGCGAACAAACGCGGGAAGTGTTGGGTGTACGCGGGTGCACGATGGGCGAGCAGACTACGGACGTCGACTGGGATGTACTGGCGTTCGGCGGCGAAAGCGCGGGGTGCTATGGTAGTGCGGGTTACATGCACGCGGGTGGAGTCCTCGCCTGCGTAGGAAAGCCGAGCGTGCGGCAGCACGCGCGCGAGGAGATGGAGCGGCAGGGAGCGCGCGCATTAGCGTGCGAGTGCGACGCAAGCACGGATGTCCTAAGTCGCGCGGGCATAGGAGAGGCTGGAGCCCACGCACGGGAAGAAGGCGGTGGATGCTGGGCGCGCGAGAACGTAGGGCGCGTGCGGAGCGGACGAACGAAGCCTAGTCCGCGCGGGACTAGCCAAGGCCGAGGCGGCGCATGTGTGCGGAGCAAGGAACGGGTTACCGCGCGCACCAAGGAATAGGAGCCAAGGGCAGCGCGCGCGCGGGAAGGAGGTCGACGTATGGAAGGCGGCTGAAGTATTAAGGGGCGAATTACTTGTGCTTCAAGTTGATTGGAGTGCAAGTCTAGCATTTAATAATTATAGTAGTATTAGGATTTTATTACCATGTTGTTTTTCATTCTAGAACTAGGAGATCTAATTAGCTTATGCTTAGATTTATTTTATGCACCTATAAATAGGGGTATCCCCTCATGTTTTGAATGTCTTGGAATTAATGAGTGAATAGAAAAGAACGTTTGTTCAAACCGTGTGTTAGGATTCGTGAGAGTTCGATCATGCAATCGAATTAGTGAGGCTAAGAAGCAAGGATAATTACCGAGTGAACTCAAGTATCGTGAGAGAGTTAGGCTAATAACTGAGTCGATCACACATATCAGTCGAGGGCGAGCTGTGGCGGACTTGGTTCAAGGCGAGTCGAGTGGAACGCAAACACACGATCCTTCATCATTGGTGCTTTCATTGAGAGTG